TAACTGTAGTTGGAAACGAACGATTCGTGGACCACGATGCCTCAAGATTCTCTAGAAGGCTGTGGGCTCAGCTGATACTTGAAAACATAAAAAAATAATAAGAACACTTGATAAATAATGTAAATACTACAGAAGCACGATATGGAGTGGCCCGCCGGCGGGCCACGCGGTCGTCAATGGGCTAAAAAGACCCAGAGAAAACGACAAAACCGCTGAGTCACTCCACCAGCAGTTGACAACTCCCGGTCCCGAAACCGTTTATTTCCACCCACAGTAGCAGTCTGCCGTTACGCATAAACAGCAACTATCCTAATCCTACTTTGACTTGATTCGATTCCGATGTGTCGTATTGCCATATTCACTGAGGATATTTTCATCAGTATGATTTGTTTTGTTTTTGGGCAGTAGTGGTAGAGCGACAAGTGGCGCATTTCATACACGCATGGTCAGGGGCTCGAATCCCGACTCGATATTCGCCTCGGCCAACCAAGCCCTCCATCCCTCCGGGGTAGGTTAATTGGTACCAGACTTGTCTGGGAGGATAAAAGCTTTGACTTGTACATCGGCTGGCCACTGCAAGTCATTGTATAGACCACATACGCACTCAATGCGCCACTACGATTCTGAATGGAAGTCGAATGCGTGGGCGCAACCCTCAGACGGGGTTGATCAACGCTTCTAGACTTCATCATTTATGGTTTGTTTTGATTCTTGAGCACAGTAATACAGTGTAAACATGCAAGTAAAGCAAGTGCGATAGAGGTGTGCAAGGCCATCCTCTGGGAACCCGTCGAGTCAAGGAATAAAGAAAGATGCCTTGCACTTTGTATGAAAACATTTGGGATTCTGATAGAGGCTTGCTATGTGAACAGAAAGAAAGCCATCACGGTCATGGCGCCGATCTTATTCGAATAATCGCAAAACAGTAAGCTCATTTAATAAAAACCCAAACAGTTACAAACGGCGACTCATTGATATGGAACATGCAATCCTCCGCCTTTTTGTAGTTTTCAGAAAAAAAAGTTCCTTCTACATGCTAAGATACCTTGATAGGAAAAGTAAACCTTACATTCCTTCTAGCAATAGCCAAGGAAATTTTTTACTCTCTATATTTCTTTTCGTCCTTACAGCCCGCACCCTGCATGAGTCTCCACTTACAAAGAATCGAATGGCTGCTTTCAGACTTCAACGACGGACCGATTGCGGCTGTGCTGGACAAGTGTGACAATGCTGGTCAGATTGCGTTGAAGGCCGTGGGACTCGTTTGGGCGCGTGACCGATTGGTGTCCTGTGTTGTCAAAACGTGGCCAGCGCCGCCGCAATTGGTGTCCTGTGTTGTCAAAACGTGGCCAGCGCCGCCGCAATCGGTCGGTCGTACGGACGTACGGTCGGTAGGTCGTTGAAATCTGAAAGCAGCCAATGACGGCAAGCGTCAACGTCTGCGCCAGAAAGCCGGTGCTGTGGATGCGCCGGGTGTGGTGCAGTTGAATCGAAATTGTCGCTTCGGTTCGAGAGACACCGTGCGCGAAAGAGTGTAACAAAGTGCAGCAGCAGTTAAGAAATACAGGAACAAAGAAACAAACAGTAGAATAATGCCAAAAATAATAATGGCATATCGATCGAGCTGTATTAAGGACGCAAGAACTGTAATAACACAGCAAATGGTCCGCGACTGCCGCGTGCGGCGAATCGATTACACAGAGCCGATCCAGCTGCCCGTCTCCTGAATGCACCCACTGACTTCTTGCTGTATTCCCACGCAAAAAAAAGCGTTGCAATCCGTACTAGTACCGTATTCACCACACCGAACTAAGAAAACCTCTGCAGAAGAAAACAGTCAATTGAAATGAGGTTGGTATTGATTTTTGGATCAGAAAACTTGATACAATGATACATCTTAAAAGCAAAACGAATTTTAAAAATAAAATTCGTGTCAACGTAAGGTAGGCATGCTGTAAATCTCGAAAACAAAATAACACTGAAAAAACGAAAACTATTTCAACGTCGGAAGCACAAACCAATTTCCGGTATACAATCCACCAACTCGCCAGCATGAACTTTCACAATTTCCGACACTCTACCCTGTTTTTTTTTCGACAAAAGACCATTAAAAACTCATCTACAGGTAC